CATGATTCTGGAATCCCGGGATCACTTACCCATGCATGGGTGAAATCTACCATCGCTGGGTAGATGGCTAGCCCAGAACCATGGCCTAGCTGACCGGCGCTGAAACCCGACCGAAAAATGCAAAGTTCTCCAAAGTAAAAACTAAGTATATAAAACACTTATTTAATGTATTTTGATGTCAAAACAAGCTTTGTAAGTTAAAAACCACGTCGTTAAGGTAAAAACCACGGTTAACCAAGTCAACACCGTACACGGGTGGTTTTCACCAAAAGACAAAACCGAAAGGTGGTTTTCATGATGTTTTGATTGGAGAACCATTTAAATGCATTCAAAAACAAATCCAACACAAAAAGACTCGAAAACCACTTCATTTAAGTAAAAACCGCGGCTAGCCAAGTTTATGCCGTTTCGCATGGTTTTTATCAAACGACGAAAAACGAAAGGTGGTTTTTAAAGTGTTTTTGATGGAAAACTATTTAAATGTGCCCAGAAGTAAAAACCAATCATAAAAAGTTGAAAACCACTTGGTTAGTTCGGACGCCAAAAACCAACGCCGAAAACCGAATGCCGAACGCCGGTTTCTGAAACCCGAACGCCGGATGGCTTGGTTTTTGGTTTGGGCGAACACCAAGTGTTTTTAATGATTTACACATGTTTGAAAAACATTTTTATGATGTGTGAAATGCAATGCAAAGAATTTTAGCCTAAAGAGCCAAGGTGTAAAGGTTGGGTCGGTCTTGATCACAATTAAGACCGACTCAACGATACTAAGGTCTTCGTTCTTGGTCTTCGTTTAGCTATTGTTCTTATCTTCGTTCTTCGCCTTGTATATTCAATGTTTGACTTGATCACGGCGGTTTGGCATTATCAAAACCTGTCATAAAAACAAACACGGTTTTAGTAGGAAAACATGATAAACCCGTGTTTCAACAAGTACCACACCACGTTGAAGGATACAACTTTTTGATCAAACTTCTTGATTAAAAAGGGGGTAGGTCAACTTTCTTACAAGTTGATCTTGCAAGTCCTATTGTTCGGACCTTGCAGTTGTTGAAGAAGCGTGACCTTCGAAGGAACAACAAAGCCAGCACGAGTGCAGTAGCAACATTGGTCTTGCGAAGATATACCG